TAACAGATGAATGGAGAAGAAAGTGATGCATATGCACAATTGAATATGACTCAGCCATAAAAAGAAAAACACGAATGAATCTTGCTATTTGCATCAACAAGGGTGGACCTAAAAGGTATTATGCTGAATTACATAAGCCAAAGAAAGACAAATACCATATTATTTCACCTGTATGTGGAATCTAAAAATCAAAATACATGAGCAAGCAGAATATAAACAGACTCATAGATACAAAGAACATTTTGTCAGTTGCCAGTTCGGAGGAAATTTGGGGGTTAGGTGAAAAGGTGAAAGGATTAAAAATACAAATTAGGTCTAGATTAGAAGATGGTGGCAGAGTAGATGGATCTTTCTCCCATCAACACCCAGAATCTAACTTGAATTAGAACTAAATTGGGAATATTCACCCTTAAATACCATCTGAAGACTGTCTAAAAAGGAGACTTTTATACAAGGAAGGACAGAAACCCTTGAGACTAGTAGGAAGAGGGGTGTGGTGAGGAGCTGGCCCAGCTCTCATGAGTGGTGGGCCAAGGAGGTGCGGGGGGAGGGGGGGTTCAACCAGAGAATATATAGGCCAGGACCCCAGGCAGGACACCCTAGCCGGGACAAGTCAGACAGCAATAACCGCCCATGCAGCAAAAAGCAGCAGGGCTTCTAGCAGCCAGGAAGTTGAGCCCTCTGCAGAAAAGCCACTTTTTTTTAAAGGGCTGGTGCACAGTATTTTCATTTGCAGACAGACACTCACCCTAGGTTTTGGCTAAGGGAAGGCGGTATGGACTGGAGTCACCTAAGAAAAGATAGTGGTGGAAGAAGTTGAGAGTCATGGGGAGGGCAGCTGCTGAGATGCCAGTGCTGAGTTATTCATGAAATATTGCAGCAGCCATTTCTCCTGAGAGACAGAAGCTCCTCCCAACAGCAATACACCTAACCCTCCCTCTCTGGAATCCATTGTGCCACACCTTGCATCTTGACCCAGACTAAGGAGGCAGTAGTCACAAGGAGCAGCAGTCTCAGGGAGAAAAAGTGTCTGGTTTTGGGGCAGGGACATTCCCCTCACATTCCCAGGAACTTGGCTGGCACTTCCCTCTCAAAGGAGAGCTAGTAGAAATTCCAGGCTTCAGATAGACCCCCCACTGGCTGGTCTAAGAGGGACTCCGCTTGACCAAGGACAAGGAAATAGTCCAGGAACACACCCATCATCTTTCCTGAAGTTTGCTGCCTTGCCTAAGGGCCCCATGCTGCTAAAAAGCTGGCCTAGGAGCTTAGGTTAGCCCATCTCCTAGGCAGCCAAGCCCAATGAAGGCAGCCACAATCTGTGGATACCTTGAAGCTTCAAACAGGGTGCCAAGGGCCAAACTTGGTCAGCTTCTGACATTGGCTAGCACAAGAGGACCTACCAGGAGACCTGAAACCAGCGCACAAAATAGCCTCAGACAACATAAGAACAGGATCTGAGACAAACTTCACTTAGTGTGGGTTTTTTTTCCATTATTTTTTATTTTTTTTAATTAAATCTTTATTGTTCAGATTATTACATTTGTTCCTCTTTTTTTCCCCCCATAACTCCCCTCCTCCCAGTTACCGCCCCACCCTCCGCCCTCACTCCCCACCCACTGTCCTCATCCATAGGTGCACGATTTTTGTCCAGTCTCTTCCCGCATCTCCCACACCCCTTTCCCCCCCAAGAATAGTCAGTCCATGCCCTTTCTACGTCCCTGGTTCTATTATGATCACCAGATTATTTGTTCACTTGATTCTTAGATTCACTTGTTGATAGATGCATGTTTGTTGTTCATAATTTGTATCTTTACCTTTTTCTTCTTCTTCCTCTTCTTAAAGGATACCTTTCAGCATTTCATATAATACTGGTTTGGTGGTGATGAGCTCCTTTAGCTTTTCCTTATCTGTGAAGCTCTTTATCTGACCTTCAATTCTGAATGATAGCTTTGCTGGATAAAGTAATCTTGGTTGTAGGTTCTTGCTATTCATCACTTTGAATATTTCTTGCCATTCCCTTCTGGCCTGCAAAGTTTCTGTTGAGAAATCAGCTGACAGTCGTATGGGTATTCCCTTGTAGGTAACTGAGTTTCTTTCTCTTGCTGCTTTTAAGATTTTCTCTTTGTCTTTTGCTCTTGGCATTTTAATTATGATGTGTCTTGGTGTGGTCCTCTTTGGATTCCTTTTGTTTGGGGTTCTCTGCACTTCCTGGACCTGTAAGTCTATTTCTTTCACCAGGTGGGGGAAGCTTTCTGTCATTATTTCTTCAAATAGGTTTTCAATATCTTGCTCTCTCTCATCTTCTGGCACCCCTATACTTCTGATGTTGGTACGCTTGAAGCTGTCCCAGAGGCTCCTTACACTATCTTCGTATTTTTGGATTCTTTTTTCATTTTGCTTTTCCGGTTGGGTGTTTTTTGCTTCTTCGCATTTCGAATCTTTGACTTGATTCTTGCGCTCCTCTGGTCTGCTGTTGGGTGTCTGTACAATATTCTTTATTTCAGTCAGTGTGTGCTTAATTTCTAGTTGGTTCTTTATCACAATATCAAGGGTCTCATTAGATTTCTTGAGGATCTCACTACACTTATCAGCGGTCTCACCAGTCTTTTCGAGGGCCTAAGTTTATCGGCAGCTTCTAGACAGTTCTTGAGAGACCTTAAAAGTGTGGTTTTGAGCTCTATATCTTCCATTTCTGACATTTGCGTCCTGTTTCTTTGTCTCTGCATTTTTTTATCTTTTCTTGGTGCATCCCCTAGTGGTCTTTGTGCGAAGTCTTGTTGTAGTTAAGCCTTGATTGTTGTCGGCAATAGTGGGGGTGATTTGACCTCCAGGCTAACTGGCTATGAGAGTCAGCTGTGTCTGCAGTGGGAGAGCTTCTGTGCTGGATCTCTAGGGTGGTGCTAATCTAGCGTTTGCCTGAGGCTATCCGGCAAATGGCTCTACGCAGGGCTTGGGTGGGGCGGATCCCCGGGGATCTACAGGGCAGGACGGAGGGAGCAGTTATGGCTGCTCTCAGTTCCGTCCCTAGGGGCTCTGCCTCACAGAGTCCCAGCAACCCTGCAAACCTCGGAGAGAAAGCTGCCTTCGAGTTCCGACCGAAGCCAGACAGTCCCGCTTCTCCCGTTTGAGTCTGGGTCCTAGAGACTCGCCCGGATCTGGAGCTCAGAGTCTGAAACTCCCTCCCAGTTGAAAACAACAACCACGCCCTCCGCCGCCAGCCCGCTCCGTGCGCACTCCGAACCTGAGTATTTCACTTCAGCACTGCGCCTCCTCTGAGTCTGGGTATGATATTCTCTTTCCTCCTAGTTGTAGAATTTCCACTCAGCCAGCCTTCCTGTGGTTCTGGATAATGCCCGTTCCGTCTTTTAGGTGTACCCTTGAATTAGTTGTTCAAGGCAGCAATCTCCGGCGTTAACCTATGCCGCCATCTTGGTTTTCTCCTCCATTATTTTTTAAAAATATATTTTTATTGAAGGAGTGGGAATGAGCAGGGGCTGTGAGGAAAGCCCGGGTCCCAGGTGCCAGAGGAAAGCCAGTGCTGGCAGCCAAAGGAAGGGCTATCCTTGCACACATTTCGTGTGAGCCTCTAGTATATATCCTATATAATAAAGAGGTAACATGCAAATTGACCATCATGCCCATGCACAAGATGGCCCCCATGTGGTCACAAGATGGCTGCCTACATGTGGTCACAAGATGGCCACGCCCATGTCATCACAAGATGGCTACCCACATGTGGTCACAAGATGGCCACACCCATGTGGTCATGATGGCTGCCCCCATGTTGTCACAAGATGGCCACCAGGGAGGGCAGATGGGGGTGACCAGGCCAGCAGGGGAGGGCAGTTGGAGGCGACCAGGCCTTCAGGGGAGGGCAGTTAGGGGCAACCAGGCTGGCAGGGAGGGCAGCTGGGGTCGATCGGGCTGGCAGGGGAGGACAGTTGGGGGCGATCGGGCTGGCAGCTGAGCAGTTAGACATCGATCAGGCTGGCAGGGGAGTGGTTAAAGGGAGATCAGGCTGGCAGGCAGAAGCAGTTAGGGGCAATCAGGCAAGCAGGTGAGTGGTTGGGAGCCAGCAATCCCAGATTGTGAGAGGGATGTCTGACTGCCGGTTTAGGCCCGATCCCTGTGAGCCTAAACCGGCAGTCAGACATCCCCTGAGGGATTCCAGATTGGAGAGGGTGCAGGCTGGGCTGAGGTACACCCCCTCTCCAGTGCACAAATTTCGTGCACCAGACCATATATATATGTGTGTGTGTATATATATGTGTGTGTATATAAATATATATATATTTATATATATATATATTTATATATATATATATTTATGTATTTGAGAGACTAAGGGAGATGGAAATATATATTTATGTATTTGAGAGACTAAGGGAGATGGAAAGACAAACATGGGTGATGAGAGAGAATCATTGATCCACTGCCTCCTGCATGCCTCACACTGGGGATCAAGCCTGCAACCTGGACATATACTCTGACCAGGAATCAAACTATGATCTCCTGGTCCATAGGTTGATGTGCAACCACAGAGCCACACCACCTGGGCTCCATTTTTTTTATTTTTTTATTTGTTATTGCTTAGGTATTATTATTGTTATTTTTTCTATTATCTTTTGTTTCTTTCATATCTCTTATTTGATTCCTTCCTTTTCTAACTCTATTTTTCCCCTTTTTTCTTTTCTTTCTTTTGCTTTCCCTTTCTTATTTTTACCTTTTCATAATTTTTTTCTCTTTCATCTTTTCTTGTTACCATTTTCCTGTTCCTACTCTTTACTCATTTTTCTTCTCTCTCTTCTTTCCTTTCAGAATCTTCTTTCTTGTAGGCCGGTGAATCTGCGGAACTGGTGAGGAGAAAACCAAGATGGCGGCATAGGTAAATGCCAGAGATTGCTGCTTAGCACAACCACTTCAAGAATACAACTAAAAGACAGAACGGACATCATCCAGAACCACAGGAAGGCTGGCTGAGTGGAAATTCTACAACTAGAAGGAAAGAGAAAAGCATACTGAGACTCAGAGGAGCTGCGGTGCAGAAGTAAAGTACAGAGGTATGGAGGCGCACGCGGAAAGGGCTGGCAGCTGAGGACATGGTTGTCTTTTTCAATCAGTAGGGAGTCTCAAGCTCTGAGCTCAAGTTCTGGGTGAGTCTCTGGGGACACAGACTACTATGGGAGAAACTGGACTGTCTGGCATTGGTCAGAACTCGAGGGCAGCTTTCTCTCGGAGGTGCTTGCAGCGGTTGCTGGGACACTGAGAAGCAGGGCCTCTGAGGGCAGCCATAGCTGCTTGCTCCGCCCTGTTGATCCCCTGGGACCCCGCCCCGCCCAAGCCGTGCACTGGCTTCTGCATATGAAAGGCCTGGCCCTTTGCAATCTGAAAATTACGTAACAAACTTGCAGCTGGCCCAAGGCCCCACAGCAACTTGCATTGCTTAACAACTGAGCTCCTGCTGGGTAGCCTCAGGCAGAGGCTAGATTAGCACCTCCTTAGAGATCCAGGATCCAGTGTGCCCAGTTGTCAGAGTGGGCCCATCCAGATTGCAGCTCCTCGGTCCATAAAGGACACACTCAGGGGGCAGAATCAGTGAGCACCAAAGCCCCATTGAAACAAGTCTTGCCCCGGAGGGGTGTTTCCAGCACAGAAGTTCTCCCACTGCAGACATAGCTGATTCTCATAGCCAATTGGTCTGGAGGTCAATTCCTCCCAGTGATACCTACAACAATCAAGGATTAACTACAACAAGACTGTGCACAAAGCCCACAAGGGGGTGCAACAAGAGTGTCCACCTCAGGTAATTGGGGAGGCTGAGCCACTGGGCCCTATAGGACACCTAGTACAGAAAGCCACTCTATCAACACAGGGAAGCATAAAAAATGCAGAGACAAAGAAAAAGGACACAAATGACAGAAATGGAGGAAAGCAAACTACTGGATATAGAGTTCAAAACCACACTTTTAAGATTTTTCAAGAACTTCCTAGAAACTGCCGATAAATTTAGTAAGACCCTCAAAAAGTCTGGTGAGACCGCCGATTAATGTAGTGAGATCCTCAAGAAATCTAGTGAGACCCTCGAGGTTATGAAAAAGGACCAACTAGAAATTAAGCATACACTGACTGAAATAAAGGATATTATGCAGAGTTCCAACAGCAGGCTAGAGGATCTCAAGAATCAAGTCAACAATTTGAAATATGAAGAAGCAAAAAACACCCAACCGGAAAAGCAAAATGAAAAAAGAATCCAAAAATACGAAGATAGTGTAAGGAGCCTCTGGGACAACTTCAAGCATACCAACATCCGAATTATAGGGGTGCCAGAAGAAGAGAGAGAGCAAGATATTGAAAACCCATTTGAAGAAATAATGACAGAAAACTTCCCCTACCTGGTGAAAGAAATAGACTTACAGGTCCAGGAAGCGCAGAGAACCCCAAACAAAAGGAATCCAAAGAGGACCACACCAAGACACATCATAATTAAAATGCCAAGAGCAAAAGACAAAGAGAGAATCTTAAAAGCAGCAAGAGAAAGACAGTCAGTTACCTACAAGGGAGTACCCATACGACTGTCAGCTGATTTCTTAACAGAAACTTTGCAGGCCAGAAGGGAGTGGCAAGAAATATTCAAAGTGATGAATGCCAAGAACCTACAACCAAGATTACTTTATCCAGCAAAGCTATCATTCAGAACTGAAGGTCAGATAAAGAGCTTCACAGATAAGGAAAAGCTAAAGGAGTTCATCACCACCAAACCAGTATTATATGAAATGAGGAAAGGTATCCTTCATATAATTGCTATTTATTTTTACTTTTTCTGAACATTCAATACATGTTCTTTTTTTGTATGTATGTTTAATTACATATCTGTCACATAGAATATAAAATCTGTCATATAGCAATGATAAAACTTTGGATAAAATAATGCGCATTTTAGTTGTGGGAAAATAATTATATATACACAGTTAAATTTAATAGATCTTAAGGTATCCTTTAAGAAGAGGAAGAAGAAGAAAAAGGTAAAGATACAAATTATGAACAACAAATACACATCTATCAACAAGTGAATCTAAAAATCAAGTGAATACATAATCTGATGAACAGAATAAATTGATGATTGTAATAGAATCAGGGCTATAGAAAGGGAGTGGACTGACTATTCTTGGGGTGGGGAAGGGGTGTGGGGGATGCGGGAAGAGACTGGACAAAAATCATGCACCTATGGATGAGGATGGGGAGGCTGGGGGGGGAAGGTGAGGGCAGAGGGTGGGGTGGGAACCGGGTGGAGGGGAGCTATGGAGGGGAAAAAGAGGAACAACTGTAATAATCTGAACGATAAAGATTTAATTTTTAAAAAAATAAAAATAAAACAAGGTGAAACACTGCCAATCCTTGAGATTCTGCTTCCTGGCAATTGTCAACAGTTTGGCTCAAATAAACGTACAAAAGGTCTTTAAAAAAAAAAAAAAAGAATCTTCTTTCTTTCCCTTTTCTCTTCTAGTATGTTTATTATTATTATTTTCTGTCTTTCTTTATCATGTATTATTCTTGTTCTCTTTTCCCTTTCCTAAGTCTCTTTCCTCTTGTGGTTGTTTTTGCTGTTGTCAGTTTCTTTAGTATATTTTTGTTAGTTTTTTTTTTTTTTTTTCCCTTGGTTGGTTTTGTTTTGTCCTATCAGCACCAGTACAACAACTCACATGATGTGATCTGGGTTGAGCCTCACAGTTAGCCAGCCTGAGAATAGATCTCACTTAAGAATGCAACAACAGTCAAGACCCAATTACAACAGGAAAGCCCAAATAAGCCTCAAATTGGTCACTCCTAGAGTACCCAGCTCAGGAGTTTGAGAACACACCAATGGGTACCACAGGACTTTTACTACAAAAGACCACCCCATGAAGACTGTGAGACAGATATATCTAATACATAGAAACAAACACAAAGAGACAAATAAAATGGGGAGACGAAGAAAAACATCCAATTAAAAAAAAAAGGAGGAAAAAACAAAAATCGACCTAAATAAGGTGGACATAAGCAATTTATCAAACACTAAGTTCACTGTAATGATTATAGAAATGCTCAAGGAACTCTTGGAGAACTACTGGTAACTACAAGGAACTTAATAGTAACTACATGAGCATGAAAAAAGACATAGAAACCATAAATAAAAACTAGCCAGAGCCTGTCCAGCATGGCTCAGTGGGTGAGCATCGACCTATTAACACAGAGGTCATGGTTCAATTCTGGGATAGGGCATATGCCCGGGTTTCAAGCTTGATCCCGAGTGTGGGGTGTGCAGGAGGCAGCCAATCAATGATTCTCTCTCATCGATTTTTTTTTTAATATATTTTATTGATTTTCCACAGAGAGGAAGGGAGAGAGACAGAGAGTCAGAAACATTGATGAGAGAGAAACATCGATCAGCCGCCTCCTGCACACCCCCCAACGGGGACGTGCCCGCAACCCAGGTACATGCCCTTGACCGGAATCGAACCTGGGACCCTTCTGTCCGCAGGCCAAGGCTCTATCCACTGAGCCAAACCAGTCTCGGCCTCTCATCGATTTTTAAAAAATTCTTTATTGTTGAAAGTATTACATATGTTTCCCTTTCCCCGAGTGATCTCTCCCAGCCTGCCCCTGTCCCCCAGCACAGGCCTTCACACCCATATTGTCTGTGACCATATGCATGCATATGCATGCATACAAGACTTTTGGTTGATTTCTTACCACACCTTCATACCCTCCCCTGCCTCCCCTCTGAGGTTTGATGGTCTGTTCAATGCTTCTGTGTCTCTGGATCTATTTTTGTTCATCAGTTTATGTTGTTCATTATATTTCACAAATGAGTGAGATCATGTGATACTTATCTTTCTCTGGCTGGCTTATTTTGCTGAGCATAATGCTCTCAATGCCCATTCATGTTTTTGCAAGGGGTAAAAGTTCTTTCTTTTTTACAGCAGCGTAGTATTCCATTGTGTAGATGCACCACAGTTTTTTAATCCACTTATCTGCTGATGGGCACTTAGGCTATTTCCAAATCTTAGCTATTGTAAATTGTGCTGCTATGAACATAGGAGTGCATATATACTTTCTGATTGGCATTTCTGATTTCTTAGGATATATTCCTTGAAGTGGGAGTACTGGGTCAAGTGGGAATTCCATTTATAATTTCTTTGAGGGAACTCCATACAGTTTTTCACAGTGGCTGCACAAGTCTGCATTCCCACCAGCAGTGTATGATGGTTCCCTTTTCTCCACATCCTCACCAGGACTTGTCATCTGTCGATTTGTTGATGATAGCCATTCTGTCTGTTACCACAATTACCTACCTGACTAAGGGCTAGATGTGTATCTAAAATTGAATAAAAGGTTGGCAAGGCCTGGGCACAAGTGGAAGTCCTTCCCCTTGCTTCCCGGCTGGCCCCCAATATTTCCAAATTATTATTTCTTGTCTCATCTCTGTCATTTGTGCGCGGCCCTTCTCCAGATCCCAAACCCTGAACCACGCAGGACATGGCTCACATATCTGGCACCTCAACAAGGGACATCTGGAGTAGAAGATATCACCTAGAGCGAAAAACCAAGTTTCACCAGCAAGGTGGGGAAAATTCACCGTAAAGGTGATGAAAATTCACTGCAAGCAAAGCCCACAGTCAGCTGCAGAAATCATGATCTGTAAGTAGGGTGGGAACGTCTTTTTTCAGCCAGGCTAATGGGGCAGAATTTGGTTAAAAAGTAAAAAATTTATTGTAGACTTTTGGCTTGCATGCTTAAGAATAAGGGAATTAAAGTGTCAGAAGGTATTCTCTTACAGTTTTTGCATGGTATTGTAGAACATAACCCTTGGTTTCCTGAAGAAGGTACATTAGATCTTGAATGTTGGGAAAGAGTGGGTCAGAACTTGAAAAAAGCTCAGCAGCAGGAGATATTTTAATTTACCAATTAGCTTATGAAAATGCCAATGCTGATTGTAAGAAATGCCTGACACCTCTGAGAAAAAAATAGTACCATTACAGAAATGATTCGAGCATGTCAGGACATGGGGTCAAGCACTTTTCAAGCAAATTTACTCGCTGCTGCTGTAACAGTGGGGAATAAAAGGTGTTATAATTGTGGAAAACCAGGACATGTTAAAAAAGTATGTAGGCAACCAAGAAGGACACAAGGTGGTGCTCCAGGGAAAGGCACGAGCATTCTGCCTCCAGATTCAATCAATGCAGCTTCAACCTCTTTTATGTCCTAGATATTAAAAAGGAAATTATTGGGTACTTATCTATTAATTATTATCTGTCTTTGTTGTTTATTGTTAGTTTATTAAGCATAACTTTAATTTAATAAGAAAGAAATGATAGGTGGCCAGGCAATTGCTGAGTTTCCCCAGAACAAACAGAATGCGGGAATGGGGAGAGAGAGAATATGAGTGGTACACATGGCCAATAATACAGGTTCTAGGAAAATTCCCTAGACAAAGGGAAATAATTAAAAAATTACTAGGTCTTTTGGCGATCCTGTAAAATAGGCGCCCACTCACGAGTGTTATTAAAAGTCTCATTTTTGCCATGTTTTTATTTCACAGTCCTTCATTTAAAATTTAGACAAATGAAACATTTCCCAGAATTTAGGGATGCACCATGAATAGAAAAGCAAGCTTAAGAAAACGCGCATGCTCTGCCTGATTTTGGGTGACTTCTTGAGCCCCACTCTTTTCACGGATGCTACAGAATAAACAAGACTTTTTTCTTTAAAAAGATAGCAAAAAATGACACAAAGAAAATATACAGGCTGTATTTGGACAATAGGATTAATGTTTCCATAATAATGATAGTTCTTATAAGTACCGCGCGCTAACCGATTGCGCCACTGGAGCTCCGGCAGATAGTTCTTGAATAATAATGTACCGCATTCCAAGGTCGACTCCCAAATCTTGGAGGCACTCCTGTTTTTATAAAATAACATAAAAATAAAAGTCAATAAGTTAGCTCTGTTATAAAATTTGCCAAAAGAAAATGCAATTGGATTGTAATTGGCTTTGAGATCTTAAAGTTGTTAGAACATAAATAATAAAAATAACTAAAATAAAGTAAAGCTTTTCAGTAATAATATATTAATGGTAAAGGGTCAGTCACTCTTCTCCCCATAAAAGTGGAGAAGTCGGTGGCGGCAACAGAAACCTTACATGTTATCTCTAAAGAAAAATGTGGTGGTTTAAAAATTTCCCCTCCCCTTGCCTTTTTGCCAGAAACATAGTTTTCTAAAGCGTTCTGTAACTTAAGACTTTAGAACATTGCTGAATTAAATAATAAAAATTATTAGATACCTAGGTATTTTAAAATAACAAGATACTAAAATATTAATCTAAATTTGCCTCATATGAAAAATCTAGAGGATAGAATTGAATCTATTAATTAAATATGCCTTGTATTTTATTTGAATATATCCTTAAAAATGTAAAAGTATTACTAATTTAAGAAATACTAAGTATTTAACTTGCCACCTAAAACAATTAAAGCTTCTAAGAATTTAAATTAAATTGGGAGAAATTATATAGTTGTGTTAACAAAATACATTAAGTTTAAAAATTCATTTTTGAGAAAAATAATTCTGATATTTTCCCTGAAGAAATTAATAGTTCAAAATATATTGTAGTCTGTGTGATAAAATTTCAACCTAAAATATAATATTTAATATGGTCTAATTAAAAAAAGGATTAATTCTATGGTCTGAACAAAATTTTTTATATAAAAACTGGTTTAAATTTAATTAATCTCTTTTAAAATAATTACAAAAGGTGTGTTGATAAATGTCAATCTAAAAAATGTTTATCTGGCTACAACAATCATAACCTCAAAAAGGGAATTGGCCATGTTCCCACAAAACATTCTGGGAACGTGCTACACCAAACATTCTATGCGGTAATGGAGGATGAATAACACATTTGGAGAAGTGCAGGTTAATAACACTTGGTGAACAAATTTTTATGGCATATAAATCTGTAGATGATACCTGAATTATTTAGCTGTCATATTTTAATTCATTAAATTTAATTTTGTACTGAGATTCACAGCAGAACTGAAGTACAGTTCCCATATACCTTGTAATTGCACACCTCATGATCAACATCCAGCCACCAGAATTAGCCTTTTGTTAAACTTACGGACTTAACACAAGTACACATACATAATTGCCACCCAAAGTCCATGGTTTACCTTAGGGTTCATTCGTGGTGGAACATTCACCATTGAGCTATACAGAAGGTGCTCACTGCCCTAAATGTTATTTTTCCAGAAGTTAAAAATGTTGGTAGGGTATATTTCTAATAAATGTCCTTTTTTTTCAATCTTTAAACAGGCAGACCTGAAACCCTGGAGATTTCCAGGTAATATATGATACTTGTTATATATGATAAGTTAGAATGTAACCAGTGATGTAGTGATTCTGCCAAATGAAATAGGATGATATCACTCATAAAACCGTTCCATTTTTATTCTGAGGTTACGTTACTGACAAACATCACACAAGTTCTTTTTACCATGATTAATGTGCATTCTTTGCTTTCAGGCATTTATGATAGCGGTCATGGCAACTGGCTGACCTTTGAGAGGCAGCTGGATGGATACTCATGGGATAGAAGATCAACTTTGAATTTTAATAAATTTTTATAAACAAAAAAAAAAAATAAATAAATAAATAAATAAATAAATAAATAAATAAATAAATGCTGTTTACTTATAATTATCATTGAAAAATTAAAGTTTAAATATTGTATCCACACTAATAAAAGACAAAGATGCTACTTGACAGTATCTTCGCTATGCCCAAGCCACACCCACCAGCCAATCAGAGCGACTGTATGCAAATTAACCCAACCAAGATGGCAGCTGGCAGCCACGGAGCTAGGGCAAGCAGGAGGCTTGGTTGCCACGGCAATGGAGGAAGCCAAGCTTCCCGCCAGCCCTGGCCAGCTGTGGCCTCTGCAAAAGGCAACAAAGTTTCAATTATAGAAGCTAAATAAATCCCAGATACCTGCTTCCAGCCAGCCTCCACTGGAAGCTTGGGTGGCTGGGGACTGTGGCCAGCCTGCAAACAGCCATCAGCCCCTCACCCAGGCTGGCCACACCCTCAAGGGGTGAGAGTCCTCGCTGTGGGGCTTGGCCAGCCTGCAAACAGCCATCAGCCCCTCACCCAGGCTGGCCAGGCACCCCAACAGGGACCCCTACCCTGAAGGGGCTATGGCCAGCCTGCAAACAGCCATCAGCCCCTTACCCAGGCTGGCCAGGCACCCCACGGGGGACCCCCACCCTGATCCAGAACACCCTTCAGGGTAAACCAGCCGGCCCCACCCTTGCACCAGGCCTCTATCCCAGTGATGGCAAACCTTTTGAGCTCGGCATGTCAGCATTTTGAAAAATCCTAATTTAACTCTGGTGCTGTGTCACATATAGAAATTTTTTGATATTTGCAACCATAGTAAAACAAAGACTTATATTTTTGATATTTCTTTTATATATTTAAATGCCATTTAACAAAGAAAAATCAACCAAAAAAATGAGTTCGCATGTCACCTCTGACATGCATGTCATAGGTTCGCCATCACTGCTCTATCCTATATAATAAAAGGGTAATATGCAAATTGACCCTAACAGCAGAGCAAATGGGAATGACTGGTCACTATTACACACACTGACCACCGGGGGGCAGATGCTCAATGCAGGAGCTGCCCCCTGGTGGTCAGTTTGCTCCCACAGGGGGTTAAGTTTGCTCTGCTCAGCCACAAGCCAGGCTGACGGATGCCAGTACAGTGGTGGTGGTGGGAGCCTCTCTTGCCTCCTCAGCAGCGTTAAGGATGTCCGACTGCAGCTAGGCCTGCTCCTCGCTGGCAAGTGGACATCCCCCGAGGCCTCCCAGACTGCCAGAGGGATGTCTAACTGCCAGCTTAGGCCCAATCCCCTCAGGGAGTGGGCCTAAGCCAGCAGGTGGTCATTCCCCAAGGGGTCCCAGACTGCAAGAGGGCACAGGTTGGGCTGAGGGACCCTCCCGAGTGCACAAATTTTTGTGCACCCAGCCTCTAGTATTTTTAATAACTGAAGGTATTTACAAGTTAATAACAGAAAAAAAATTAAAGTAAAAATACATTTTTAAAGGACATAAATGGAAGGTTTGAAGATTAATCTAAAAGTATAAAATTTATGAAGGTTATGTATATAATGAAAAAAGAACAAGGATAATTTTTAAAATCTCTTCAGCTACGAAGTAAACTAAAAATTATTGTTCAAGCATTAAATCTCACCATTAATGAGACACCATAAATAAAAAGAAAGTTACTTTTGCTTGGAATGTATGCATGGCAGCATTGGCCAGCATCCAAAAAGCAACAAATTTTGTTGCTCGGTTTAAAATAAAGAAAAAGTTTTTAAAAGAAACTCCCTAAATGTAGCTCAAAGATCACTCTGGGAGGAAATAAAGGGAAATTCCCTTCAGATATTTAGAAACTGTAATTAAAAGTCAATATATTAGGCCTTAAAAAGTAAAAATACAAAAAGAATTGTCTTAAAACCTTAAATGATTTTCAGAAATTATTAGGGGACATTAATTTGGTTAAGATCTTATCTAAAAATCTCTATGGAAGAAATGACAAATTTGTTACTCAGTTAAAATAACTCAGTGACACAAGCTATCATTTCTAGCAATTTTGTAAAAAGTTGAAAATTCAGCACACTGCAGAATTTTCAAAGCCGCTTAATATTATTTAAAACAAAAAAAGGGGGAATATGGAGAAATCGCCTGTAAGTAGACTACACCAAGCCTTAATTACTTTAAATTTTTTCACTTGTGATGCCAATGGCAAGACACCCATGGAAATACACTGGTGTCAGAATAAGCCAAAGGATAAAGGTCTCGTTAAATGGGAGGATCCTGAGTCTGGGATATGGGAGGGCTCCGATCCCCTCTTAACATTTGGTCAAGAATATGCTTATATATTTTCAGAAAATTTCCCCAAGCCTGTGTGGATTCCGGCAAGAAATATTAAACTTCAACATAGATCTGAGGGAGGAACTGGCCAGGTTAATGAGGACCTTGCACCTGGAGCCATGCCTTACAGCTGCAGACAATCAACTACCCCAGCCGCAGACACCAGCAGCTTCGAACAATCCATTGAAGATAAGGAGTGGGAGGAGGACGAGGAGGAGGATGGCGAACAGCCCAGAGGTCACCTGGGGCATGGTGAAGAAGACAGTCTAGAAAGCTGAGCAAATTTGTGAGGAGACCAGAACCCCAAGAATGCCTGGGAATGTCTTTCTTGCTGTGCTTGCAGTAATCAGCTGTGCGGTAATAATACCGGTGGCAAATGGGTAAGTATTTTGGACTTATGTTCCTGACCCACCATGGGTAAGACCCCTTACGTGGGCTGATCCCCTGTCTAATGTAGTCACCAATAATACCAAACACCTTGGTCACCCAGGGGAACCACGGTGGGGCAAGGAAGTATATGGGCAAAGTATAATTACACAGGTGTCGCCACCCAGCTTCCCTTTTGTATGACACAGAACCAAACCACTGCTCCTTTGTATGTAAAATTAAAGAGAGGCTTCTGGCTAGCATGGACACCAAAGGTAGGGGAAGAAAAAGCCCAAATATGTCTACTATCACTACTTGCTCCGGGGAGAAGTGCAGAAAATGTAACTGTACTAAGACACTCCCCCACCCCCACCCCACCAAGCCATTATGTAAAAAGTCTTATGAATGGCACCCCACTGAAGAAGAAATTAATTGACAAGACTGTTATAGTGATTACTCTACCACCAGAAAACTTAATAACAGTTTTTCCTTTGTGGATTGGAGCCCCTACGGGTCTGCATATAGTAACAATCGCACCCTAAAATGGAAGGGGAACACACCCTATCTATATGTTGAAGCTAATCATTCCATTTCATGGAATGGAGGAGGATTTGTTGTATCTCAATTACAACATGACAATTGGCCACTACAGAATACGCAATGGAAATTAGCTGTTGCACTTGCACCTATTAAATGGTATAGTTTTAATTATAGCTCAGCTAATTCTATTCATACCCTATGGAGAACTCCCAATAAGACAGTATTTGCCACCACCTGTGTGTTTGATCCATTTTTACTCCTCTCAGGCCCCATCCAGATGCACCTTAATGTTACAAACCATCTGTATGAGGTGTCATGCACAGGCTGCACATTATACCATTGTATTAATTCTACATTCCAAAAGGATTCCCTCATGATTTTGAAACAACCGGCTTTCTCTTGGGTTCCTACTAACCTAACCGAGCCTTGGGAATCTCATCAAACCTACAAACTGTTACATGATCTGGTAAAAATCTTAAAAAGACAAAAAATATTTCTTGGAATGTTAACTACAGGAATCTTTGCCCTGGTAATGTTACTTACTTCTGTGGGCATTGCTGCTTCATCCATGATACAAAGTGTTCAAACTTCTCAGTTTGTACAAGTTAAGGAAAATGTAACTAAGACGTTGTCTATACAAAAAAGAATTGACAGCCAGTTTGAGATTGAATTGTGGGCACTAAAGCCTACAGTCTTGTGGATGGGTGATAAAATCCACAGCCTAGAGCAAAGAATATCCTTGCAGTGTCATTATAATTTTTCCCAGATTTGTGTTACCCCCCGTTCCCTATAATAGTACCTTACACCCTTGGGAATCAATAAAAAATCACATTCTTGGTGCTTGAGGTAAAGGTAATACAACCCTTGATATTTTAGAATTACAACAGCATATTGGACAATTATCCCAGGCAAACTTACAAACTAATTCCTTAGATGCCTGGCAACAATTTAAAAAGGACATGAAAGAATTTAACCCCTTCCCCTGGATCTCATTACATTTGCCTCTCAACATAACCACTATTGCTTGTCTCATTTTTGTTCTCATATGTTTATGTCTAGTCTGCAGATGCAGAATGAAGAGTTTTAAAAGGACTCGAATCCTTCAGGCGGCATTCACTTTTCAAATTTTACTAAGAAAAAGAAAGATGTAGGAAGCCACCCATTGTCTTCACTATCAGAGAAGTGTAAACAAGGAGCCCGGAACACTGGTGAACCTTGAGTCTTGGCAAGGGCCAGAGCTATGCACCAATTGTTTAGTCCAGACAATGGTGGCTCAAGCAATTTCCTGACCAAATAGTCTCAGAGTAAATCTTTCTAATATTTACTGACCTTTAAGATAGTCTGTTACCACAATTACCTGCCTGAATAAGGGCTAGATGTGTATCCAAAATTGAATAAAAGGTTGGCAAGGCCTTGGCACGAGTGGAAGTCCTTCCCCTTGCATTGGGCTTCCTGCCTGGCCCCCAATATTTCCAAATTATTATTTCTTGTCTTGTCTCTGTCATTTGCACGTGGCCCTTCTCTAGATCCCAAACCCTGAACCACGCAGGATGTGAGTCATCACAGTTTACCTGCTTAATTAAGTTTATTCTTGGTATTCTTACTTTTTTTGTTGCAAGGGTAAATGGGATTTTTTTAGTTTCTCTTTCTGTGAGTTCATTATTGGTTATAAAAAAGCCATAGATTTCTGCATGTTAATTTTGTATTCTGCTATGTTGCCAAATTCATTTATTAAATATAGTAGTTTTTTATGGAGTCTTTAGGGTTTCCTATGTACAATATTATGTCATCTGCAAATAATGACAATTTTACTTCTTTTTCAATTTGGATGCCTTTTATTTCTTCTTGTCTGATCACTATGGCTAGCAATTCCAATCCTATATCAAACAGGAGTGGTGAAAGTGGGCATCCCTGTCTTGTTCCTGTTCTTAGGGAAAATGGTTTTAGTATTTTCCCATTGAGTATGATGTTGGCTATAGGTTTGTCATATAAGGCTTTTATTATTTTGAGGTATGATTCCTCTATTCCCACTTTGCTGAGTGTTTTTCTTTTTTATCAAAAAAGGTTATTGGATTTTATCAAATGCTTTTCTGCATCAGTTGATATGATCATGTGTTTTTTTGTGTTTCAGTTTGTTTATGTGACATATTATGTTTATTGATTTGCAGATATTGTACCAGCCTTGCATCCCAAGAATAAATCCCACTTGGTCATGGTGTATGGTCTTTTTAATATTTTGCTGGATCCAATTTGCTAATATTTTGTTGAGAATTTTAGCATTTAAGTTCATCCGGGATATTGTCCTGTAATTCTCTTCCTTTGTAGTATCTTTATCTGGTTTTGGGATTAGGGTAATGCTGGCTTCATAGAAAGAGCTTAGAAGTGTTCCTTCCTCTCGAATTTTTTGGAATAGCCTGAGGAGGGTAGGCTTTAGTTCTTCTGTGAATGTTTGGTAAAACTCTCTTGTGAAGCTATCTGCACCAGGGCTTTAGTTTGCTGGAAGTTGTTTTTATTACTGCTTCAATTTCTTCAGTAGTTATTGGCCTATTTAGGTTTTCTGATACTTCCTGATTGAATTTTGGAAGATTGTATTTTTCTAGGAATATGTCTGCTTCATCTAGGTTGTCCACTTTGTTGGAATAAAGTTGTTTGTAGCATTTTTTTTTTTTTACAATCTTTTGTATTTCTGTGATGTCAGTTGTTACTTCACCTCTTTCATTTCTGATTTTATTTGGGTCCTCTCTCTGTTTCTTGGTGAGCTTGGCTAGAGGTTCATCAATCTTGTTTATCCTTTCAAAGCACCAGCTCTTGATTCTATTGATCTTTTGTACTTTTTATGAGGAGGTGAGGTCTATGTAATTTCTTTCTGCTTTGATCTTTATTATTTCCTTCCCTCTACTTACTCTGGGCTTTTCTTCTTGCTCTCTATTTCTTTAAGTTGTAGGGTTAGATAATTACCACTTTTTCTTCTTTTTTAAGATAGGCCTGTTGTTTTTTTCTACCTTGTCTTCCAAGTCGCTTCATCAATATTGCTTGCAATTCCTTCCAGTGAATTCTCAATGTCAGGTATATTATTCTTTGCTTCTGGCTAGTTTTTTAAATATTTTTAAATTGATTTCAGAGAGGAAGGGAGATGGAGAGATAGAAACATCAATGATGAGGTCCAAAAATAGCAGCCAGCAGGCCAGCAGTGAGGAAGAGAGTTTGAGTGAGTAAAGGAGTGAGAGGGGAGGGTGTGGACATGTGGTGTGTGTGGGGGGGTGGGGTGGGGGGGTGAGCGAGAGACAGTTAGCTCTTTCAGGAGCCTCAGGGACTGGTGGATCAGGCTCTCCTGGATAGGGACCACCTGCTACCTCCATAGGAAGTCCCAGGCCTGGCACGGCTCTAGCACAGAGCCCATGCCATATTGAAGAGGGACACAGCAGAGGCCAGGAGTGCAGCCACACCGACACCCAGACTGGCCTCAGACACCACCCCAAACTGGCCAGCCATAACTCTCAAGGGATCACTGTTGCAATCCTGCAGTGAGTGGCACACTACCTTGCCATGGCTTCCAGATGTCTGCAGTGAGCAAAAGCCAGACATGCAAATGAAGGGATGGGAAAAAAATTCCAAGCAAATGGAAAAGGAAAAAAAAAGCAGGGTTAGCAATACTTATGTCTGACAAAATAGATTTCCAAACAAAGGCCATAAGCCCTAGCTGGTTTGGCTCAGTGGATAGAACATCAGTCCATGACTGAAGGGTTGGGGGTTCAATTCCAGTCAAAAGCATGTACCTCAGTTGCAGGCTCGATCCATGGCCCTGATCAGGGCATGTGCGGGAGGAAACCAATCAATGTGTCACTGTATTCATGCTTCTTTCTGTATCTGTCTCCCCTTCCTTCCACTCTCTCTAAAAATCAATGGGAAAATATCCCTGGGTGAGGATTAACAAAAACACACACACACAAAATAAGGCCATAAAATAGACAAAAATGGTCACTACATAATATTAACAGGATTGTTCCAACCAGAAGAAATAACCCTGGTAAACATATATGCACCCAATATAGAAGCACCTAAATCCTATATAATAAAGAGCCAGGGTGTAATGACCGTTATGACCTAAGGCTCGACCAGACCGGAAGTCAGTGCTGGGTTGCCGTGCCTGCGGGTCGGTCCTAGGTGGGAGTCAGTCCCGGTCCTGGCCACGCCAGGCGGAAGTCAGTCCCAGGTGGGAGCCAGTCCTGGGTGGGAGCCAGTCCGGGTGGAAGTCAGTCCTGGGTCATGTAAGTGGAAACTGTAAGAAATAGAAACAAGGCAGACCTATCCCTCCACATGGGGAGATATTGGCAGAAGAATAGCATGGAGCCAGAACTCCCACCATCTCATAACAATAATGAATACCCATCCCCCTCCCCTGACACACACACCTACAAACCTTGGGCCAAGTGGAGAACCTGGATTTCTACTGTCTTCTTGAAATAATGAGGTGACATCTCACCCTTCCCTTACCAGAGCAATATCAAAGCAAAGCCAGATGAAACAGTGTTGAAAAAGATCCAGAGTTTCATAATGCTCAAAATTTCTAGGTTTCAATTATCAAATTATTCATACAAAGAAGCAGAAAGAGCTAAAACTGAATAAAAAAGATAATAGATACTAACACTGAGATAGTAGAGATGACAGAGTTATTTGATAATAAGTTTAAAGCAACCATCAAAACAATCTTTACATGAGTGATTTTGAACATCCTTAAATGGGAAAAAAAGAAAGTTATGGCAAGTAAATAGAAAGTCTCAGCAAAGAAAATGAAGCTATAAAGAAAAACCAAATGAAAATTATAGTTCAGTAGAATATAATAACTGAAATAAATAACTCAGTGAATAGGCTCAAAGCAGAATGGATGGAACAGAGGAAACACTCAGGGAACTAGAAAATATAACAATAAAAATATCCAATGAGAATAGGGAGAACATGGGATTGAAAACAACAGAAAAAGATCAGAACCACAGGAACCAGTGGAGTCATAACAACAACAAAAATAAATAAATAAATAAATTGATAAATAAATAAATAAAACTGTAACATTTGGCGTTTAGGAAGAAATTAAAGGAGATGGAGCTGAAAGAGTACTTGAAGACTCTTCTAATTGGTCAAAAGACAGAAACCCTCAACTTTAAGAAGGTGACCAAATACAAAATGAGAGAAACCCAAAGATATCAATACCCACATCATATTCAAACTTCTGAAAAATAAAAACAAAGAAAAAAATCTTGAAAGTTCTGAATGACAAATAACACTTTATCTATAAGGAAAAAGTAATTCTCATGACAATAGGTTTTCCATTAGAAACCATAAAGTCTAAAAATAAAAGAACTGTCAACAGAGTACTGTTTCCAATGAAAATATCCTTCAGCAATATGGGGAAAATCAAGGCACCTCAGAAATGAGAAAACATAAATGTAAACAAGAATTGATAAAGAATAATATCCAAATCTCAAAAAATAGATGAAATATATTTAATATAGTCTATCCAGGTAAACTCAAATTTATTCCTCCATTACTTACTTACCAGGATAGCTAAAATTAAATAGACTGATAATATTAATTATTGGCAAGTATCTGCAGGATCTGGATCTCTCATTCACTGCAGGTGGTTGTATAACTTAAATAAAAGGATGCTAAACTGTATCTACTAAAACTAAACATATGCCTACAGCGTGACTCATTAAATTTACTGCTTTTATATATCCAAAAGACATGAGCAGATAGGTCCTCAAAATCATATGTGAAAGTATGTTTAGCGTACCTTAATTCATAATATTTTTAAATTAGAAACAACTTACAAATCTGCCTACAGGAAAATGGAAGAATGGTAGTAAATTCAAATAATAGAATACTACACACCTAAAAAAAAGGAATAAAATCCTGATATGAAGAATAATATGGGTTAATTTAATTTCATAGATTTTATCTTGAGCAAAAGAAGTGAGACACAAATGAGAATACATCATATAAATCCACTGATATGAGTTTCATGAACTGATGGTACTATCAGTGATTATAAAGGTCACAAAATTAAGAAATTCTGAGGGTAGTAGTCAGAAAGGGGGATGAAAGAAACTTCTAAAATCTTTAAAAAGATTCTGCATCTTATATTGGGTGTTACATATGTAAACAAGTTTGATCTCTACATTTACGTTTCATGCACAGGTGGAGTTAAATATAGGTGTTTTCTAGCACTGAAAGTCGCTTATTATTTAAGCTTGGGTTCCTCAACTTTCAGAGTCCATGCTAATCTCCATTATGTCATATTACCATTGAAGATAAATAGTGCCATCAAGATCTAATTCTACAGCTCACTAACCCTGAAAAATGAAAGAGGATTTATCCTGATTAAGAACTCTGAAGAGAGACATACCTTGAAGGAACACAAAACGGACATCATCCAGAACTACAAGAAGGCTGGCTGAGTATAAATTCTACAACTAGAAGGAAAGAAAAGCACACTGAAAGCCAGAGGAGCTGCGGA